TCACCAACATTTGGTATGGGCAGTCTTTTAGCCATTCTAACAGGAGTACAATGTTATCTCATTTTGATTTAATTTACTAAATTTCCTAATGACTAACTGGGTTAAACATCTTTTCATGTGCTTTTCTGACATTTATATATTTTCTTTGGGGAAATGTTTGCACAAATCTTCTGCCCATTTCTAAACTGAGTTGTATCCTTATTAGTGATTTTTGAGATTTATTTATTCTAAAGAGAAATCCTTTATCAGATAAATGCTCTATTTACAAAGATTTTCTCTCAGGCTGTGGCTTGTCTTTTTACTCTCTTAACTATCTTTAAAAAGGCAGAAGTTTTTAATTTTGATGAAGTCCAATTTCTTTTATGGATTGTGCTTTGGTGTTGTATCTAAGAAATCTTTGCTTTACTCAAGGTCACAAAGCTTTCTCTATTATATTTTCTTTTTAGAAGTTTAATAGTTTAACATTTTACAGTTTAGGTCTTTGATCCATTTCCAGCTAATTTCTGTATGTGATGCAAGACACGGATCACAATTCATTTTTTTTTTTTTTGCATATGGATATCTAATTGTTCCAGTATCATTTATTGAACAGACTCTCCTTTTTCCACTGATCTGACTTTGTACTCTTCTCAAACACCAGTCATCTATATACACATGAGTATATTTCTGGATTCTCTATTCTGTTCCACTGATCTATATGTCTGTCTTTATGCCAATACCTCACATTGTCTTGAGTACCGCAGCTTTAGAATAAGCTTTAAAAGCAGGAAGTGTCAGTCCTCCAACTTTGTTTTTTTTTTTTAAATATTTTGGCTATTTAAATTCTTTGCATTTTTATTGGTCATTTTCTACAAAAAAAGCTTGCTGAATTTTTGGTTGGTGTTGAATCAACATATTTAGCAAGCACTAATAATTTCACAACATTAAGTCTTCTAGTCCACAAATACAGTGTATGTCTTCCTTTACTTAGGTCTCCTTTAATTTCTCTCATGAATGTTTTGCAGTGTATATAACTTGTATAGGGCACAGGTCTTTCACATCTTTTGTCATAGTTATCCTTAAATATTTAATATATTTTGATGCTAGTGTAAATAATATTACTTTTTAAATTTCAATTGGATTGTTTGTTGGTAATATACACAACTGATTTTTAAATATTGATCTTAAACTCTGAAACCTTTATAAAACTTACTCCTTAATTCTACTAGTTTTGCTGAGGATACCATAGAGTTTTCTACATAGATGCTCATGTCATCTGTGAATAAAGACAGCATTATTTACTCCCCTCTAAATCTAGAGGCATTTTATTTTTTTCTTGCCATATTACACTGGTTAGAACCTCTGGTACAATACCGAATAGAAGTGTGGAGAGCAGACATTCTTGCAAAGACATGCTAAAAACCAAGTCATCCTTCTGTTTATCTCCATTAAAGAAAAAATTTCAGTAGCTACTGGATGAACAAAATATAAATGGATGATGAGATGCGGGGAAATAGTCAAGCAGTATCTTTAAGTGCTACAGAAAGAAAAAATTAGCCACCCACTGAGCATAACAAAATAGTGGAAAAGTTGATAACAGACATTATCTGATAAGACCATGTAATCAGAACTTAACTGGACAGAGCAGGAAAAGTCCTTCATTTAATGGACTGTCCAACACTGTATTTTTTTTTTTTTTTTAAAGCCTGGCCAAACAGTGTTCTCATAAGCATTTAATTAGCACTTACTAAGCTATTCTAACACTGAGGGACCAAAAGTAAATTTGCAATTTTTAAAAGAAATACCTAAAATATTTCATGCAAATTTTAAAGACAGTATTTAGATGAGAAATTCAACAATTTTATAAACAATGAGAAATCCCAAAGTGAAGACCATTTTCTCAATGAAGTCTTCACGCATCTATTAATTATGAAGTGTAATGAGGACTTTTCACTACTTATCTTAGTTAATTTCTCCAAAGTGCTTTAAAATAATGACAGCTTCTGCAGTCGTTGATGCTTTTCCTGTCCACTGCTCCCAGAGCATTAGTCAATCTTGGCTCTCCTGCTGATTTTTAATTACTTCTCCTTGATTTCCTTCCTTGATCCCAGGGCTCTGTCTTTAGCTATCCTCTTTGTGACTGAATTCATTAACATATTTAAGGAGTTAAAGCTCTATTTACTTGATGGAGACTCTCAAATTTATATCCCAGTCCAGGATCCCCTTTATCTGATGACACCTGGGAGTCATGGATGACATAGTCCTTTCTTTCAACCCTACTCATCTAATAAATAACTAAATCCTGGGTTTTATGCTGAAATAAGTCCTTTTTTCCTCCAAACCCCACTGATATAATCAGGTTTTGTTGTTGTTGTTTGCCTAGACCCAAAGTTGGCCAACTTTTGCAAAAGACCCTGTAGTAAATATTTTAGGTTTCTTATATTAACATTATAAGAAAATGTCATTAGGCAGGCCCGAAGGAACAGTGCTACATACACTGGAGGCAGGAGAGTATGGACACTGACTAGAAGGTAGCTGTGTCCTTTCAGATAAAAGATGGTGGTGGCATGAACTAGAGGCGGTGGGACTAATGGCACAGGCATAGATTGGGACAATAGCACGCACACAGAACTGACGTAATATGATGTTTCCCCGGTTCCTGGCTTAGGCACCTAAAAGGCAGTGGTCCCATTTACTAAGATAGGAAATATAAACGGAAGTTTAGGAGTGAGTTAGGGAGGAGCGCATGAGTAGTTTTGATTGTAAAACGTTGAACTTCAGGGGCCTATAAGACCTCTTAGTGAAGTATCTAATCAACAGCTCAACATGCATGTTTAAGCAGAGGAATGATGATGATCATGAAGGCAGTGGTAACATTTACTGAGTTTTTATTATAGGTCAGGTAATGTTTTAAGCATTTTACACAAATTAACTACTAATTTCATCCTTCCAATAACCTTAGAAGCTGGGCACTATTATTATCCCCATTTTATAGAAGGTGAAATTAACACACAGAGAGGTTCTATAACTTGCCTAAGAAGATAAACTGGTAGCTGGTAGAGCTGGGATTAGTAATTCATTCCCTGAGTCTTGGGCCCATGCTTTAAACATTAGGCTTCACTGCCTCCCCTGACATGTATTTGGGAATTGCATATAATTTCGAGGGTTGCTGAAGACACAGGAATGAAAGAAGGCACAGAATGAAAGAAAAGGATGAGGGCTTGGGAACATTAACTTTCAAAGGATGAGCAGAGAGAGGGCATAGCACAGGGGACTGAGAGGGAGCAGTTAGAAGTGGGAGAGAATTCAGCAAGGTAAGTTTCAAGGAAGCCAAGACAAAGTGTTTCAAGGAGAAGGGACCATCTCTGATTAAGGCTGCAGGGAAAACAGGATAAAGATGACCAGTGGTTTTGCTGTGAGTAGCTTTAGCTGTCAGAGTGGGATCTGAACCAGATGGCAGTAATTTAAGGTGGATAAAAAATGGAGACAATGAACATAGAATGTAGATCACACTAAAAAATTTTGGTTGTTAAAGGGAAGAGAGATAAATGGAGGCTTTAGCATGTTTCAAAGTTGATGAGTTAGATCCAGAAAAAGGGGAGAGGAGAAAGAAAAATTGCTGAAGAGAAAGTCCTGAGGAAATGGAAATACATTGTATAGTTATGAGTGGAGGCTCTATAATTAAAATGTTTAGATTCAAATCCAGACTCTGCTACTTATTAGCTGCTAACCTTGGAAAAGTTATTTAATCTCTCAAAGCATCAATTTCTTCACCTGCAAAATGGGCATAATACTACTATCTCCTTCATAGATATAAGGCTTAAATAAGATAACGCATGGGAAAAGCTGGAATACAGTTAAGTGCTTAGAAAACATTAGCTATTATTACAATGGGATCTGGACCACAGGTAGAGGGGCTGCTCTTCATTAAGAAGAAACACACTTTTTATGACATAAAAGGAGGCAATGATAGGAACTGATGGCAGGTAAGTGTGGGGTTGGAGGGAGAAGACAGGCAGCTTTTTACTGATGTTTTCAATGTTCTTGGTTAAGAACAAGGCCGGGCCAACTGTTGGAATGAGGAGCTGCTAGTAGGACAAGGCTTGAGGAGAACAGAGAGACTCACTGGGACACTGTCCAGTGAAATACCAGGGGCCCCTTAGCAGTGAAAGCTCCATGAGTCTGCTTAGAAGCCCCAAATCACATGGATCTAAGGCTTCTCCATCCGTGCCCAGCAACCCAGATACAGGAGTGAAGAAAGCAGAGTGATGAAATTATCTTATGATCAGGTTTTGATAGGCAAGTGTGATGAAAGAGTAAGAGATCACAGGTTATTTTAGGCATTAATAGCAGTGACTGAAGTGATAGAACGTGGGTTTTAGGCTGTATAGGGAAGGAAATTAAGACCAAAAAAAAAAAAAGATGGTATTTTCAGAAAAAGCAAAAGGACCAAAGGAATGCATGTTTTGATGAAGTCAAAATGCAGGATTAGATATTAGGGATATTAAAAGAGCAAGATAGCTATATTCTAGCTCTCACAAATCTTGCAGGCTAGCTTAAGGTAGAAAATTATACAAGTAATTAGAATTAAAAACATCATATTGATAGAGACTAAAATCTTAAGGGGGTACAATGCAAAAGTACCTACTGGTTGCAGAATTGGTTGGAGAAGGTTTTCTATGGAAAATAATTGTTAAGCAGAGATCTGAAGGACAAACAGAAGTTAGCCACGAGCAGAGGAAGTATATTCTGTATTAAGAGCATGAGCAAAGCCCAAACAAACACAGAGCATGAAGAGGCAAGGACGGAGAGGCTTGTAAGAGTTGCTTACAAAGACAATGGAGTTTACATGGGACCAAAACATTAGGACCACAACTCATTATCACTTAAAAGGAACAGTAAACAAAGAAATCAGCAGGCACAGTGCTGACAGTAAGAATCAAGATCTTGAAATATAGCTTAATATGCTGGCATGCAGTGCACTTAAATTCAAGATTTAGCTAAAAAGAAACACACTGTACCTTTGAACGAAATGTTGGATGAACAAAATAAACAGCCTTCAAATTCCTCTTGTATCTGATTCGAAATAAAAACAAGGGTCAGTATGTCATGCTATGGACAATTAACTCTTTGCTAGAGTACAGAAATATATTCACAAAGGAAAAAAAATAAAAAATTGCTCTAGTTCACTTATTGAATTTTAGGTGAAATGTCAAAAAAGTATTTGTTTTATAGAAGAGATTATTTCTCTTGGCTGTGACAGAGCCACCTACAGGTAGAACAGAGTAAATTCATATTTAACAAACTGTGTACCATTTTTTTTATATTGCACTAGAATCTCTGGGACCAAGTTATGAATTAACACACTCATGGGTCACTGGGTCAAATGAAATAATATTTATAAATGTATTTTGAATAAGAGTAACACATCTTATTAATAGAAGGTGGTATTTTTATTTTATATACAAAGATTGGTAATGATCCCAACCCTTTTCAAGATGTTTAAAAGCAGGAAAAAGTTTACATATGAATTTACTTAGATGCAAAATACGCTGGAGTTAAGGAGGGCCTCCTCATATTAAAATAACTTATCTATATATGATAAAATTGTTATATGAAATATGTTTTTGTAGAATATGCAGCAATGTTTGTTTACTGATTAATTTTAGGAAAGAAAGCTCTCTCCCCTCTCCCTAATTTGCAAAAATAACTAACTTGACATCAACAACATCATAGAGTTTCTTCAGGAAGTCAGAGTCCAGGTGATTGTATTCGCTGGTCAGTGTGTGAAAATATACTAATACATATTCCTTCACAGCAATGTGATCCATTACATGGATAAAATATAAGAGAGCCTAGAAAAAAAAAAGAAGTAAAAGTAAGATTATCTTGCACAGTGGTCTATTTCATAGAAGCCAAGAGCAAGGCAAAACCCAGAAGATTAGTCTAATCGATGCCCTTGGCACTGCAGATGGACATCTCAGACTAATGAGTAGTATCAATTTTCTTTAAAAGAGCTTCAGGAAAGTGAACCATGCCAGTGTATAGTAATTCTCAGAAATGCTACAGTAGGATCCCTTTTTGCCTTATTCTAAGTGGTGGGGGAAAACAATCAGTCTCTGACCTCTCAAAAAACTCTTCATATACTCAAAAGAGTTCTTCAGTCGGCTGCCAGGTTTTCCCTCTCTAGGATAACGATATCAATATCATTAGAAGTACAATTTGCAGACTTCTGAACTTTCTTGAGGTTTTTGCTTGAACTCAATGAAAATCTTTGCAGTCTCTACTGGGTTACAGACTTAGGGCTCTCACGTAACCAAGAATTACTATACAAGGACATCACGAGTGATGCCTCCCACCCATGGCTCACTTTGAGGACTAATTTTCTTGGCATCTTTAATGTTGACCTGAATGAGAAAAATGAGAACAAGTTTAGTCAGTGGATGGCAATGGACTGGGCAGCATTTCTAAGGCTCTGAAAGACTCAAATTTAATGTGACCCAGATCACATTTGAGAAATACTAGAGAAATATTCCATTACAGGAAAGATGAAATTTAAGAGAAACATTAAACACAAAGCAGAGATACAATATGGGCAGGGCCAGGATGACCCAGTGGTGTACTATAAACAATGACATAGAGGAAGCTAAGAGTTAACAACTGAAAGATTATTATCAAACAGGTGATTTCCCAGTTCTCCTCAGGAGAGTCCTTGGCATTAACATGAGTGGACTAAGATGGATTAGCATCCAACTGCTACCAGAGCTGACAGAGGAGGGCACTAAAACACAGTATCTTTCCAGTGTGTTGGTTTGAACCTCACAATGTATCTCATTGTATTATATGAAATGATACATCATGGATATCCAGAACACCAAGTGCACACCAAAATCAAATGCAGAGATTTATGTTTTTATTCGTATCAATCACATTATTGATGAGAATGTCATATTGATTGTTAATAACACAAAACAAATGACTACAAGTAGAAACTTACCAACGATACCATTTGAATCAGCTGAGTTTTTCCTGTGTGTGTGTTTATTTTTATTATTATTTCTGGTTTTACCAGAATGCTTCTGGTCCTCTTTATATCTACCCTCCACTCCCTCTCCAGGACAATTAAGATACTCATTTTCAGCTTTAAATTCCCCATCTTTAACTTCAATTTTTTTCATTATAAGGAAGTATAGCCACATGACAGAAAAATGTAGAAAACAAATTCTCCCTAAAACCACGAAATCCATTTTAAATTTTTACATTTTGAGTTTTTACCTTTATGCTTAAAATAAGGTCAGTGTATAGGCAACTTAATGTATCACTTTTTCTCCTACTGATATTACAAATATTTCTCTATAGTATTTGCCTTTAAAACCATAATTTTTAAGAGTCACAAAACATTCCATTTGTGGATACACCATAATTACCTGTTAGGAATTTAAGTTCCAATTCTGTGCTTGTACAAATGAGCCTGTGGTAACATGCCACGTCCAATGCTTCCACAATTTTTTTTTACCTAAACACCACTGACCAGGAAACTAAGGGCTTAGCCAGAAGCAATTATCTGCTTTTGTATAACTGTGCTTTATCTTAAAAAATGGGTGCAATTTTTACATTTTTAAGCACATAATTTGTTACTGTGGTTAAGAATGATGTATTAAAGTGATTCTCCTCTCTTGCAGTCAGTTTCTAATAAAACTGATGTTCTAGGACAACTTACATATTTATCTTTTAGATTCAATGGTCCCTTGCCCAAGTATTCCAACTTGGGCAGTTTCAGGGTCGATAGCTACTTCCATACTCCAGATTATTTCCTTAGTACAAATTCTCAGGAACAGAATTCCTGGGTCAATGGATGTGACCACTTTTATCATTTTAATTCATCTTTGAAGACAATGATTATTATTTAAAAGTTCTGGCTAGTTTTGAAGGCAACAGAAAGTATGTCATTCTGATTCACTTTTTTGAGGGGAGATTACTAATCATTTTTAAAAGCAGAATCATTTTCTTATTTTTTTTTGTCAGTAATACCATTTTTTCTTTTATGAATCAGCTATTTCTGTCCTTTGTCTCCAAATGAAGGGATCATGACATTATGACACCTTAACTACATCTCTGACTTCTTCTCTTCAGAAAGATATTCAAGAGTTAATTTTTCTTTTTTCAAGAAAAGCAGTATTTGATTGTTAGTACAATTATAACCGAGAGTGATTCCAACCCAAAACTTGCCAGTTGCATCATATCCGAAACAGAGCAGCTGCGTTTTTGGTCACATTATGGCATTCTAGTATTTTTGTTTCTCCTACAGAACAAAACCAAACCCCTAGCTTATTGAAATAGTATGTGCCAACATGCAGAGCCAGGGCCATTCTTCTGCCCAGATACACACAATTCTGCCCCATTTCCTATTCTAAGTTCTGATTCCAAATTCCTATCCTACTAATCAGAAAAATCAACATTATGTGTAAAACAGAGCCTTTAAACGGCTTACCTTGTCCATGTCTATTAATGTGACAGGAATGTTTCTTCCAACTACCACCATCACAGTGCGACCACAGTTATCAACACCTGAGAAGAGGAAATGTGATCAGCGCCCAGAGACTTTATTCCAAGATTGGACTCTGACGTTATAAAAATATTCTACACAAATATAAAAGACTGCATATCAAGAACTCATGTTTTTTAAATTTCATCTTCAGATGTCTTTCACTATGTGGAAAACAATACTTTTTTTTTCTTTAGCTTCATGAGGTTTTGATGACTGCCCTTACTTTTAAGATAAGGCTTTTTACAGGTTTTAAATCAGGGACAGCCAAAGTTAAGGCTGCAGGGCATAAACCTTTTTATAAATAGCTTTCTGTTTAAGTTCACTACAACTTTTAATAACATTAGTGATCCAGGAAAAACTACTTGGAACTCAACTCTGAAAATTAACAAGTACTGTCTGAAAAAGAAATTTAATGCAGAAAAGAATGGAAATCTGAGAACTTTCACCATCTCCATCATATATTTATGTAAGGTTTGAATTTTGTATAGCAAGTGGGTGACATTTTTAAAAGCAGAAAAAAATGTTGAAAAAGGTAAGAAAAAGGACATTAAGAAGAAATAAAGTTGGCCAATGTAGAACTACAAGATGAAAATTTGTAGGTTGAGATGTTATTTTTTTATGATCGTGATGATGAGCAAAAACTATCCCCATTATTACAAAAAATTTTTTTTCATAGATAAAATGAACAAAATCAGAGAAAAATGAAGTTTCTAACAGCATGCTAGGGAGGGTCCTTAATTAGTAAAAGTTACTATGTCCTTAAGCTCACCTGTTTGGTACAAGGCTTTTAGAGAAGCAATATCAGATAGATCCTCAGATCTTGCTTGACATAACCAGCGATTATAACTAGAGAAATAAAGGACATAATTATTATAATAACTCCTTGTAAACTAAATTTACAAATGGAATCTGTTTCTATCTTTCCCTATAGAATGAGATTTTATTGTAATGTGCAAGGATTAAGGAGATCATTGTATTATGCAGAATTTCCACTAATGTGTTATTGATAAAATAAACATGAATGAGTTACTAAGAGAGGAAGGTGTTCATACTAATTAAAAAAAAATCCTTTATGATCAAGTGAAGACTACTCATAAAAATGGCAAAGATACCAAGTACTCCAATTAACAGTTTTCAATATTATCTTCCTTTACTAAAAAACATGCAAACAGAGAAATCCTAAAGCAAAAGCAGTTATCTAGAAGAGATGTTCACTCATCCAACAATGACTTGGTATTGAGAATCCTACAGTGAACAGACATGGTCAGTGCCCTCAAGGAGTTTACTTTTTATAAGAAAAACAGGTTAAGTGTTAAACATGTTATGTGGATCACAAAGGAAAGAGGTAATTTTATGCGGGAAGTCCAGGCTTATTTAATGAATGGTTCATCAAGCCAGTTGCACTGATAACGCATATAGCGGATCCTAGGGACTACAGCTTGACTTTAGCTCAGAAGGCATTAAAACTGGAAGAGAGGACATCTGGGTGGTTCAGTCGTTAAGAATCTGCCTTCGGCTCAGGTCATGATCCTAGGGTTCTGGGATCGAGCCCCACATCGGGCTCCCTACTTGGCGGGAAGCCTGCTTCTCCCTTTCCCACTCCCCCTGCTTGTGTTCCCTTTCTTGCTGTGTCTCTCTCTGTCAAATAAATAAATAAAATCTTAAAAAAAATAAAAAAAAAAACTGGAAGAGACGTTAAAGATCTCAAAGAGGGTAAATGACCTGCAAAAGGTCGAGCTAATCTTAGTTACCAGCCAATTATTGGTGGAGCTGAATTTGAAGCTGTACTCAGATCTCCAGATTTCTGAAAAGGTCAGTATTTTCTACTATTTCATACCACTTTCTTAGAATTCAAAGGGCCACTTATTTGCAAAAAAAGCTTTCAAGGCACTGAAATGCATGAAAAGCAACTTTGAAGCATCTAGGTCACATAAGGCAACATACCATAACATAAGGAAAACTAAACCAGGAGAGAGGGAGACTTGGTTTCTAATCCTATCACTTTCTGTGCAATCTTAGTAAATAAAGCTGTTTCACCTCTATGGACCTGTTTCCTCATCTGCCAAGTGGTATTTATGTAGAACAGTTTTTAGCTATAAAGTACAATCACGAAGCTAAGGATATTTAATAGGAAGCCTATTACATTTGGATTGTAATCAACATGTGATAAAGCCTGCTAGTATCACAGAAATTGTTACTGCCTGTGAAAAAAACACTTGGTATCACATAGTTCCACAGTTTTCCTTTTTAAATTTGGAATCTTGGGGCGCCTGGGTGGCTCAGTCTGTGAAGAGTCCAACTCTTGATTTCAGCTCAGATCATGATCTCAGGGTCTTGAGATCAAGCCCCAAGTCAGGCTCTGCGCTGGACATGGAGCGTGCTTAGGATTCTCTCTCTCCCCCTTGCCCTCCACCCTTCCCCCCTTCTCTTAATTAAAAAAAAAAAAAAAAAAAAAAGGAAACCTGCCCACCTATGTAAACTGAAAAGTCAAGAGAAACAGCTTTAAACTTTGGTATAAGACACAATTTGCAAGTCAAGAGAAGACCTATGTTTATGGTAGTTCTTATCCATATGTTGTGTTCCGTATTTTTACACAGAGTCAATTCCTTGGTTATTCACACTAAATCCCCAATCGTACTGTTTTCTAATTGTCTTATGATTAAGTCATCTTCACAACAAGACTGAACAGAATGCATCTTAAGTGGCTTATAAGCATCACAGGTCCTAGCACAAATCATGTAACAGGAATTCAGTAAATGTCTGTTAATTTCTATACTCCATTCTTGAATTCACGAGCTCATTTTTCAAGGATGTATTATGTTCATGCAAGTGCCTGCATCATAGTATGGACTCAAATCTTTGTTTAATGAAATAATAAACATGAGTATTATTCAAGATATTTTGGGGGGCATCTGAGAATAATAAAAGGTCCCTGGCTTCAGAGTTTAAAGTTGAACATATCAGATACATAAAGAATTAACTCCGTGGTAAAACAGAATGAAACAAGCAATGCAGCAGAGGTCTAAATATTCTATCAATATGCTGAGAGGAGGACTGGCAGGGGTAGGGTTGGGAGGGCAGAGTGAGGGGGAGTGGAGTGGAGGCAAGGTCCAGATATGGAGAACTGCTCCTCCTTTTTTCTTTTTAAGATTTTATTTATTTATTTGACAGAGAGACACAGCCAGAGAGGGAACAGAAGCAGGGGGAGTGGGAGAGGGAGAAGCAGGCTTCCCGCAGAGCAAGGAGCCCGACGTGGGACTCGATCCCAGGACCCTGGGATCATGACCTGAGCCGAAGGCAGACGCTTAACCACTGAGCCACCCAGGCGCCCTAACTGCTCCTCCTTCTTTGCACCATAAAGATTTGCACAAGGCTTCACCCACTTACTGCCAGTGTTTGTTTCTACTCTTAGACAACAAGATAGGGAATACACCTTATTTGTCTCTATATGTCCAGGCAATCTCTAGGGTTACTCCTGACGCTGAGTAACAATGTGTTCAATGAACTCTGAAAAAAATTTTTTTCGAACTGAATTCAGGTGCACAAAACAGAATTAACCTTGATTCAAAACACTCTCATCATGGGTACACACATGGTTTTCTTTAAAAAAATTGGTTATCTAGGGGCACCTGGGTGGCTTAGTCACTTAAGCATCCGACTCCTGATTTCTACTCAGGTCATGATCTCAGGGTCGTGAGACTGAGTCAGAATCCCCTTCCACCCTCAGCAGGGAGTCTGCTTAAGATTCTGTCTCTCCCTCTGCCCCTTCCCCTGCTCTTGGGCACACTCCCTCCCTCTCTCTAAAATAAATAAATCTGCAAAATGTTTAAAAAACTGGTTATCTAATTAGTTACTTTTAATGAAATAATAAGCATTCTGAAACTTACTGCCCCAAACAAGAGCTAGCACCCTCGCAAAAATCTATCTCTAATCACGCAGTCATTCCCCTTTAATTCCAGCCCCTGCCTCTATAACCAGTCTCTGGAATCGCCCATCCATCATCTTCTTGCTTTCCTTTTTATATCCTTTTGGTTCATCTGATGTATTCCTAAAATGTTTTTTGGAAAAAGCTTATTATACTGTATGTAATCTTTTGGGTCTTACTTGTTTGACTTACTAGACTGCTAAGATCCATCTATATCATTGTGTGGCAATGTTGTTTCTTCACCTTGACAACTATATGATGTATTTGTACCATATGAAAACTAGTTTTTTTCATCCACTCTCTTACTGGTGAGCACTTGGACTGTTCCCAGGGTTTTGCTCCTGTGTATAGTGCTATGATCAACTTATTTAACATGTTTTCTGGTATATGTGTGCCTGATTTCTTCAAGTGCTAGGTTACAGGTATATTCAGTTTTAGGAGGTAAGACCAGACCTTTCCAAAGTGTTGTACCCATTTATACTTCTACAAGCGATGAATATGAGATCCTGTGAATCCATTTCCTCAACACTTGGTATCAGCAGATGTTTTAACTTTTGCTAATCAGGTCTGAAATGGTATCTCATATCTCTGGTCACTAATGATGATGAGATCCTGTTCATGTTTAATGGACATGTTTCCCTCCTCTGTGAGATGCCTGTTCATATTCTTTGTTTTCTATAGGGCTATTTGTTCTTTTCTCACTTACTTGTAGGAATTCTTTGTATATTCTTGATAGTAATCATTTGCCAGTTACGTTTACTGTGAATACTCCCATTCTATAATTTCCTTTTCACTTTCTTTAAGATTCATTGCCCCACTTGCCAAAGTTCTTAATTTTAATATAGTCAAAGCTATTTTTTCTTTTATAGTCAATGATTTTTATATCCTGTTTAAGAAACCTGTTCCTTTCTCCAAGGTATAAAAGATACTAGTTTACAACTTCTTCCATGAGTTTTAATTTAAAAAAATAATTAAGTCCTTAATCTATCTAAAATTGACTGTAGTCCATGGTGTGAACTCTGAAATAGCACGAACTCTAAAGTGTTTTTAACCTTGATCTGTGATTAACAACGTGAGATCCTAGAATAGATTCTGGTTGGCAAAAGCAATATCCATATGAGCATGTTCAAGGGGAGAAGGCTTATAGCTTACATGAGATTCTTAAAGGCTTTATGATTCAAAAAAGGTTTAGTATCATTGCTGAGACAGTGGTGCTGCTCCAGTTCCTAAGGACTGAGATGAATTCCAGGGCAGCAACTCAAGACTGCCATCTTCATCTGTTTCTTCTTTATTCTTATTAAAGTCTCCTCCATTCCCACTACGGATCATGTAAGTTTGATTTGACTAGTCAGTTTTTTTTTCTTTTAAATAAGTATATGGGAGAAGGGAATAAAAACAAAAAAATGTTAGCTTTATCTCCTCAGCCAGTAGAGAAACAATGTTTCGTTTCCCTCATCTATTCAAAAAATATTTTAAAATTTCCATTCTATCTCTTATAAACTGCACCTCATTTTTTACTGTCATTTCTGCGTTTTATTTCAATAAAGATATGTAATCTTTTATCCCAGTCCAACAATCAAAAGCTAAAAAAGGAAAACATCAAATCAAAATAGTTTCTTGTTTCCTTAGAGCTTATTCCAAATAAACATTTCTATTACTTGTTGGGTAAACTATAATAATCATAGGTAAACAGTCACACAAAATATTTTGGCAAAATGACAGCAAAGGTAGCCACTACAGAGCTCTGAAGGCAGAAATGCTAAGTAGACAGTTTCTCAATAGGCTGTAATGAACTAAGGTTGGTTGCTGTCCTCACAAAGCTAATAAAAGGCAATTTCTTCCAGTTAATCAATTACTGTCTGCATGCACAGCCACAGGTTGAATGATGAAGAAAACTTTCTCTAAAAATTCTTAAAAGACT